TTTTTAAAACAACCTTAAATGGTTTTAAAACAAAAATAACCGTTCCTAAACATTTTATAAACATTGTTGTTTTATTTGGGATGGTATTAACACGTTGTTTACTGCGTCTATTATTAGTAAATGACTAAATATCATAGAGTAAAGCATCAAGAAACAATAGCTGCAATTGAAATGTCTCCGACAACACTAACATTAGTGCCATCTCTTGTAAAATCCTTAAAACATACTCCTAACATTATTGATGGAAACTCAATGACTAAATTATGGATTGAGAATGATCCATTTTATATGAACTCATTAATTCCAATAAGTATTTCTATTTTGGAAAATCAGATGGATCTAAAATTTCATTATAGTATTAGTTAGGTGTACAACTTTGCTTCCGCCATTTTCCTATAGATGGCTTTAGCGGTAAGTGGTGGTCGAAATAAATAGATCATACAATAAACTTGGGCATCTGTCAACATAACCCCATAGAAACATTAGTCGATTTGTGTCTGCATCATAAAGTTATTCTCGATTGAAAATGTCAGTTTACGAGCCAAATTCTCGTCATTTACGGGAGGTTTTAATTTTTTGCTTCAATATGAAGAAATCTGCGGCTGAGGCTCATCGAATGCTCTCAAATACTTATGGTGAGGCCGCTATTAGTGAAAGAACGTGTCGTGAGTGGTTTCAACGCTTCAAGAACGGTGATTTTGATGTCGAAGACCGGCATAGCGGTGGAAGAGAGAAGGTTTTCGAAGATGCAGAATTGGAGGCATTACTTGAGCAAGACTCGTGTCAAAATCAAGAAGAATTGGCATGATCATTGGGAGTGACAAGGCATTTCAAAACGCCTCAAAGCCATGGGAATGATTCAGAAGCAAGGAAATTGGGTGCCGTACGAATTGAAGCCGAGAGATGTTGAACGGCGTTTGTTTGCTTGTAAACAGCTGCTTGAAAGGTAAAGACGGAAGAGATTTCTGCATCGCATTGTAACTGGGGACGAAAAATAGGTTCATTACGATAACCCCAACCACAGAAAATCATGGGGAGTTCCATGCTTCCACGTCGATGGCCAAACCGAATATTCACGGCTCCAAGGTCATGCTCTGTATTTGGTGGGACCAGCTCGGCGTGTATTATGAACTGTTAAAACCGACTGAAACAATCACAGGCGATCAATATCGAACGCAATGACGTTTGAGCCGAGCATTGAAAGACAAACGGCCGCAATACAACGAGAGACACGATAAAGCGATTTTGCAGCATGACAATGCTCGACCCCATGTTGCGAAAGTGGTCAAGACATACTTGAAAACGTTGAAATGGGAAGTCCTACCCCACCCGCCGTATTCTCCAGACGTTGCTCCCTCTGACTATCACTTGTTTCGATCAATGGCACACGGCCTGGCTGACCAGCACTTCCGGTCTTATGAAGAAGTAAAAAATTGGATCGATTCGTGAATAGCCTCAAAAGACCAGTTTTTTCGACGCGGGATTCGTACGCTACCCGAAAGATGGGAGAAAGTAGTGGCCAGCGATGGACAATATTTTGAATCATAAATGTATAATCAGTTTTTTACAATAAAACCTCGAATTTCGGAAAAAAACGGTGGAAGCAAAGTTGTACACCTAATATATTTCATATTAGTATGAACGTTCGGATATGTTTTTCAATTTGCTAAAAAAACAATAGAATCTTATAAACTTGGTTTTGTATACCGCCGATAGAAATTCTGAATAATTTTCAAATCAATAACGATTTTATTTTTTTCGTTAATACACGATTGTTAGATTCATTAATTTAACGATAAAAACAGATTAATGTCAATCAGTTATTTGAAACCTTACCCTATTGATGTAGATCACTAGTAACGATTCTTGTTCGTACATTCTTTGAATTGATGACTGAATGAAATCTTTCGGTAATTATAAATTATATTATATTTTATTATTTTCCAAAATGAAGTGTCAATATTTATTTTAGAAAGTTGAAAGTATGTTGATGAATTTTTAGAGTTGGTGATTTTTTGAATTATTCTGAATAGGTTAAAAAACGGCCGGATTCTACCCATATTTGTAGAGATGAGGCACCAAATTGTATCTAGTAAGGGTTAATATTCCATTGGATACAACAGATTGAATACGAGAGATAGAATTTTTATCGTTTCCAACAGAATATTAATCTTATAGAAGCCAATAAAATGTGATAGGATTTTTATAGGATCGAAAAGTCAATAATATAGCTTATAGAAAACGGTTCAAATTGATAGAAATTTTATCGTTCTCAATCGTTCTGTATCAACTTTTTTTATAAGGAAATCTTGCCCCTGATGATGGGTTGGTGATCTTGCTACGCGCACGAAGAATTCGTAATGGCGCGGTCAGGCGATCACCGCCCAAGCGTTTCCCGCGGTATTAATACTTCGAGGGCATTCGATCGAGAAAAATGAAATCTTCTCTGCTTTCCAAATTTTTTATTAAATATGCCTCGAGCGCGGGCGAATGTGTTTCACAGCGGATACGGAAAGAATCTTAGCGGTAGCGCGGCGATAACTTTCCACGAGACGAGACGCGTGCAGAAGACAAAAACAGTTTGATTGCCAAGACGATCTAATATTATTTTTTTAATCGATTACGCGTAACGCATGCGTCGTTTAGCATTCAATATCTCGTGGATTCATCGATTTTTCATAGATGCGATTAGGCGATATACAACTAGACGTGGTGAATCATAGAGATACCGAACAATGGGATAGGGGAGATCGAGTGAACTTCGCTTTGTATGGAAAGGTTAACGCTAAACAAAGGGGAGTGAAGTGAACTTTGCTTTGCGTGGAAAGTTAGATGTTCTGGGCGGCAGAGGAGGGGGGAAGAGGAGGGAGAAAGGAGATGAAGAACTTACTTCGCGTGAGAAGTCGAACGCCCCCCAGGAGATAGTCGAAGTGGACCTTGCTTAATAAGATCTTTATAATTAGACGTTATATGGAAATTGTGGAACAACATATTTGTTCTGGTAAATCAAATGAAGCCCTGGTAAAAATTGTTTTCATAATTTAATTTATTTATACGAATTGGAATATTTTTGGAAATACTCAAAAATATTTGGAAAATTTACATTTTCTCTCAGAATTTTTCATACAAGTAAATTTTTTAAAAATAATTTTAAAAAAATTTTTTAATTTTTTAGATTTTACAACATTTCATCAGAAATTACAAAAAAATCTTAGAAATCTTATGATATTTTATAATTAATATTGTATATGAAAAATTCTGAAAAAAAATTGTAGATTTTTTCAGAAATATTCCAATTCATATATTATAAAAAATGTGAGAAAGTTAAAACTATATAAAAATTCTGAAAAATTATATAGAAATTCTGAAAAATTAATATTGTATATGAAAAATTCTGAGAAAAATTTTTTCTCCAGGGAGAACTATTATAACTATTATAACTTAAATATGGCATTTTCTTTCCATATGTATTCCAATATGTATTTTCTTTCCAGTATTATTATTTTGGGAATTTAAACATGTGCCTAGTAAACGAGAAATTATTGAAAAATATTGAAAATTATTCATTGAAGCGATGACGATTCGACATTGTCGAATCAAATTTTTGAATTTTTTAATCCGTAATCCGAATGAATCAATAAATGCAGATTAATTATTTGCTTCCGTGTCTCATTCCAATGCATAAAAATGAAATATATGACCAATCCGATTGAATCTGTAATTACATATTGGTAATTTTGGTATTTTACTCAATGTTCAACGTGCGACTAATTCGTTTGAATTTAACGTACGATATTGAAGAATTGTCTAACATGGCGGAAGACGCACCAATTGCTAATCACATCGGCAAGTGATATCGTTGAAAAACATGTGTCGAAATGACAAGATACATAGTCATTGCCTCCCAAACAAAAATTCTAGTGTGATATACAGAATGTAACATTGCGGATCCACATACGATGATAAAACATACCCTGGCCACGATAGTGCAGATTATATTCGGGAGTTACTCTATCGCTGTGCATCCGTAATGTTGTATACTCTGTATATACTCTCTGTATATACTGTATAAGGCTCATTCGGAAAGAAAGATATATCTATGACCGGTGCATATCTTTTAACGATAAATCTGCACTTTCTGAGATCGCAGATCAGCATTTCATTTCTAAATCTATATGAATCATAGAATTCATATTATTATATTTATCTAGACGTATTCAGAAATGGATTTTATGTATTTAGTTTCTACAAATACCTTTTCGCGGATAACGCGAATTCGAAAACTTAATTCATATGGATTTATCCAATCCAATTCGTTTTCATTTGCTGGGTGTGTAAACATCAAATCACGTGAAATATTATGTGAAACGAAGTTCACCCCTTATTGGTGAAATATGTATAATATATAAGTATTAACTTTGATAATTAATAAAACACGAAATCAATGACAGTATCTACAATGCAGATCGCAATGCGCAATTAATTTAACATAATATATTATAAAATTGATACATACATTTTAAATTCTAAATAAAAATTTCAATTCATATACATAATATCATGTAAATATATGAATCGAAATTCTGTATTTATTCTGTATTTCTCAATTTTATAATTTATTTATTGTGCGTTGTGATTTACGTTGTACTCTCATTGACTTGTCTCATGTTTTGAAATATGTACATCATGTTCAAAACTATTTACTATTCATAATAATTGTTTTGCTAATAACTTTTTAATAAACAGTAAGCGATGGGAAAAGTGAATGTTTTAAGAGTCAAGATTAAGATCTCTCTTGGAGGCCATTTGGGGCTGACTCTGTAAGAGGAAAATAGTACCAAATCATTTATAACTAATTCTTTTAATTATTCATTATAAGCCTTGCATATAGTTTATTACTTTCCAAACATACGAACTTATTGTTGGTATAGTAACAGATTTTTAATATCCTAATTATGATAATTCTACTTAAATATTATCTAATGCAAGTGTGGTTACAGTTCCAGCAATATAAAATAAGTGGACATCCAAAAGCATTAGACGATAGACCAAAAGAGAATGGACAGGCAGACGAAGGTCAGCAACAGAATAAGGTATAAAAAATTGTATTATCAATATGATATTAATTGAACCATATGCGCACCAACATTCACAGATACATACGCTTTTCATACTTCGCACCGATCATGGATAAGTGGAGGAGTTTAAAATCTGTCTGAAAATCGTAAAATGCATTTATGGAATTTTTTTTATTTTGCATGCTCATGTTTAGCATATGTATCGTTCTTCCCTTACTTGTTGACATTTCACTTGAAACTTTAGTTTCTTTATATTATTGAAGTTTGTAACATTCTAGTTTGATCGAAAGCATAAACTGAATCCGCATTATTGATATATACAATTAGTGTACAATTATATTTTTTCTGCAATATGTACGTATCTACTTAAATATTAATGTTTTTTTTATCATTGTCATTAACATGGTTATCATTAGTGCCGAAATTTTATAATTATATTATCTTTTGTCGTTTTATCGAAACATTTTCGTGTTTCATATCATATAAGATATTAAAGACTGCATAAAATTTAACATAAAATTCTCATGAACATTTACGTAAATATGTTTCGTATTTTTCATAACATTTATACAGGTGCACTTTTATCTCACATGATATATGAAGTAACATAAATCACTTTTTATTTGTCATTCATTGATTCGCTGCATCCACGAGAATGTATCTATCATAATCTTGCATGATAATCGTACAGTCGCATAGTTGTGTAGTATAGATGTAGTTTTGGGAATTGCGCGACGATGCAGGAGAGGCAATGCGAGCGAGGCATTCTGAATGTAGTGTTGTGATCGGGCAGAATGAGACTGAGCAGGCAGCAAGCCAGCCGCAGCAGCAGCAATACCAGCAACATCAGTTGCAGCAGCAGCAGCAGCAGCAGCAACAACAACAACAATCGGTACAAAAACCAGGTACAGAGAAGTCCACTGAAGTTGGCAGTAGATTGAGCAATGGGAGTCTCGATCCAACTGAGCAGGACTCAGCAGTACGAGTAATAGATTTGCAAGCTACTCTCGACAAGCAGGTATGAATTAGTATTATATGACGGAACGATAGAAAAAAATCAACTACTAACACAGAACTTGACAGGTAGTTTTCCATCTCTGTGTATGTTGACTATATAAATAAAAATCATGACTGATTTTTATAATTTTATTCTTGCAATATAATTTTTTTCCAATGTTTAATCACACCCCTGGTAAAAATTTTTCTTATAATTTTTAATTAAAACATTTTATAGAAATACTCAGAAATATTCGGAAAGTTTACATTTTCTCTCAAAATTTTTCATACATGTGAATTCTGAAATATTCTGAGATTTCTTATCCCATAATTTTTTTAAAAATATTTTTAAATTTTGTAGATTTTATAACATTTCATAAGAAATTTTAATTACAAAAAATTTTAGAAATCTTATGATGTTTCACAATTACAATAACATATATAAAAAATATGAGAATGTTATAAAATTATATAGAATTTCTGAAAAATTATATTATATAGAAATTCTGAAAAATTATATGAAAAATTTTCATCAAGGACATAAATATGCACATGCGCGTATTTACGCACTCGCATGCGTATGTATATGTACAATACATACAATGTACACAACGGAGAAAAAAAGAGAAGAAAAAGGAAAGAAGAAAAATAGGAAATAGAAAGGAAAAAAATCAAATTAAAAATATCTGAATCAATTTTTTATTTACTAAATACATAATAAAATGTTAAAAACAAAAATTATATTATTTGAAAGAACAATTCCCAGCACCGAAAGCTTACACCAATATTGCAGAAATCTTTCTTTGCAAGATTGCAATGTTGCAGAATGTTGTAAAATATGATACTGCAATATTGCTGTAACATTGTCATCATTGCAGCAACGGTAAAATGTTCTCTTTAGAAATGTTGCAATGTAATATTGTAGCAACATTACAATTTAATATGTACTCTTAAAGAGTTATAAAATAAATTTTTTATAGATAGATATTTTAGCTCATAGATCTTTTATAAAAATGTAGAATTACCAACCGAATTTTGGTTTACAAACCCTATACGTCAAGAACTATTTTTTTATAGTAATATCAGTGAATACTGTAAAAAAAAAATTGTTTTCGTTTAAACTATATGCAACTACAAATTAATAATTTAGAATTATCCCTCTGATACTTCACTCGATCGATTCCCTAATTACAATTTCTATCTGTACAATTCTCTTTGGCTAACAATTCCCAAATGATGACAATGACTATGTTTACACCGTGCTTCGCAATCAGCAAAGAAATGTTTCTGAAATGTTTTTTAAACATGTTTTTTTATTGCAAAAGTATTTAAAAAACATTAAAAAAATTTAATTAATGGAATAGATTCTTTTTTATTAATTAAAAAGACGTTTTTGTTACATTTAAAAAACATTTTTTAACGTTTGAAGAAACATTTTTTTGTTAAAAAAAACGTTTTTTAATGTTAAAATTATTTGAACAAAATTAGAAAAAATAATAATGCAGAATCGTTCTTTTAATTTATTTTTTTTTTTATCAACAGTGCCTAAACCTCAGACAACTAATTTTAATTGTTAATATAATTAGAATAATAATTATTATTATTTTTAATTATATTTTAATCTTTTTCATTTACCGCATACAGCCGAGTTTTGAACCTGGGACCTCAGAGTCTCATACCTTAGCCATTACGTCACTTATGACTATCGATAGACACAGTTCTTATTGTTCATATATGGTACACTTAACATAATTATATTATATTAACTTCTCTTCCATGATTATTTTATTATTCTGATCCTTTATTATTTGAGTTTTTCAAAAATAATAACATTTTTTACATATTTATTATAAACGTTAAATAGACGTTTTTTTTTAAATAAATAAAATAAATAACAAAACAAACATTTAATAAACGTTATATAAATGTTTAAAAAAATGTTATTTTAAAAACGACTCATAAAATATAAAATTCGTTACAAACGTTTCAAAAAAACGTTAAATAAATATTTTTTTGAATCATTATTTCAAACAAATAATTAATGGGAAATGAACATTTATTAAACGTTAAATAAACATGAAGTGAATATTTCTTATCACCACATTTTAAATGAATAAATAATTTAAAATAAATATTTTATAAAATATTTTATAAATGTTAAAAAAATATTCCTACGTTTAAAAAATATTCCTTCCAATCTTTATTTCAAACGAATAATTAATATTGAATAAACATTTTAAAAGCAATCAATTTTGCAAAACGAAAAAACACAGGTAATTTTTTTTTCGCTTATGCTATGAATTACGTTAGTTTTCGTATTTATGCAATATCCGCAGAGCATGGGCGGAAACACTTTGTGCAAACCGTTTATAACAATTTTTTGCATAAATAAAGCTCGAAAAAATACCAAGAATAAAAGTTTCTTGTTTTCGAACATAGAATCGAATAGCATTTTTAGTTTAAAAAAAAAGGGCATTTTTTAAGAATTTATTTAAACAATTATCATTTAAACAATCAATAATTTTGCAAAATAAAAAAATATGAGTAATTTTTTTTCGCTTATGCTATGAATTACGTATTCAGTTTGGCACTATCATGGCTGTATTAGGCATGGATCTTAATGAATTAATACTTGCTGACTGTTTTTTTTTTTATGATATCATCTCAGATTTATCGCATGTGTATCTTCTGATCCTGAATCTTCTGTCCTCCACTTAAATATATCATCCTTACTACATTCATTTAGTTAGGAAAAATTATTATTATCTATATCTGAGAATTGTCAGCCAAAGAGAATTGTACACATAAAAGTTGTAATTGGAGAATCGATTGATTGAAATATTAGAGATAACTCTAAGTTATTATTTTGCGCTTGCATATATTTTAATAGTTGTTTCTTTTTTTTTTTATAATATTTAATGATACTATTATAAGAAAATAATTCTTGACGTATATAGTTTATAAACCAAAATTTCCGGTTAGTGATTCTGCTATATTTTTATGAGAT